GCATGGGCAGGACTGGCTCCTCCGAGAGGCTCCAGGGAGAACCGGGGTCCTTGCCGGTTCCATGTTCTCAAGACTCCTTAAATTCCTTGGCTCGTCGCCTCCTTCCTCCATCTTCAAACCCAAGAAAATTAAATTTCTCTGGCCCTGTTTCTGGAAAGGTTTGCTGCTTTTAAGGACTCAAGTGATCAGATTCTGCCCACCCAGGTAATCCAGGATAATTGCCACACCTTGAGGTCCTTAACCCCATCTGCAAAGTGTCTTTTTCCTATAAGCTAACTATTCACGGGTTCCAGAGAGTAGGATGTGAGCATCTTCGGGGCTCATTGTTCTGCCTTCCGCAGTGCACACTGAAGTGTTGGTTCAGAAGAAACAGCGAGCACCATGGTTAAGCAGCCACAGTCAAACTAAGACTCAGCCCAAGGCTATGACCCTGAGTAAGTGGCTTTCGTCTATACGACCTCAGTTTCCTCAGCTATAAAATGGGACAATATTATTACTTACATTATGGGGTTGTTAGAAGAATTGAACTGGATGGGGCACGGACACCTTTTCACCCAGGGTGGGCGCTCAGGGCTCAGACCACAGACCATGCCGCTGGGCCGGGCAGGATGTACTGGCAGCAATGCTCCCACCCAGGGCTGGGCTATATAGCTTGAAATGACGTAATAGTAAATAGTTTGGCTAAGTGAGTCCTCTGATAGTTATTTAAACAATTCTATGTGTTCAAATCCCTCTTTAAAATAGCTGGTGTGGGTTTTGTTTCCCTGCCTGGACCCTGACTAATGCAGTGCCAGTATCAGCCATGGTCCCTGGAAACAGACCCTCCAAGACAAATTTGGGGGTGAGGTTTGACCCTGTCCCCGGCCTGGAGAATGGTGCTGAACTCCTTGATGGAGGGAAATGTGGTGCTGGAGCATCCCAAGCAGACTAACTGCCAGCTGCAGTTGATCATGTCCCCCTAAAGCCAGAACCTGGTCCAGGCGACTGCCCTTCCCTGCAGCAAGGACTTCAAGGACTGAGTGGTGGGGTGGCTGTTTCTTACTATGCCAAAGACCCTACAGAGAAAACATGACAAACTCAGAGTTTAATCCGGAGTGCAAGTCACAGGCAAAAATATCAGAGAACTTCTCTCACTGAAATAACAGAGAATCTGCTTTTTGCTGAAGCTATAGAGTTAACCTTGCCTGATGTCAGACACGGAATTTGTGAATACTGCAGAATGACAATGTCAGTTGAATTCAAAAGGCTGACAAGTATTCGTGTGAACATGGTTTGGGAAGGAGCATGACCCTGAGGTTCAGATTACAACCTGTGAGTAGACACACGTGAAGTTGAGAATCTTGCACCTTGAGTCTGTGTGACCCTGAGTCTGTTTCCGGCTAGTGGAAATGGCCTGCTCTCCTGTGTCTAGGGAGACAAACTCTCTTTTGCTTCAAGGTCTGTGCTACTCTCCCCTGTAGACCAGGCCTGACCATTGGAGATGTCACTCTTGAGATGTCTTTAGTGATGATGGGGTTCCACAATGGCAGAAACCACTTACGTGCCAAAAATAAGGGAGTGTATTTGTTATCATGAGCAGTAAGACAGTGGTAACCAGTAAGGTTTGACCCCCTTCAGCAGTGGCTAATGGGCCCTGAAGAATAAAATGAACAGCAGTCAAATTTCCAGACTGAGGCTGGTTCCCAGAGCCAGAGTCCCTGATTGAAAGGGAGGCTGTGTTTCCCAAGGATATATGCTTGTAAATCTTTCTCCAATTCTTCCCTACAGGGCCTTTAGCCATTTCGTTGGGTCAAGTATGCACTAGAAAAAGGAAAATGCCAAGACCTTTTGGAGATTTCTAGACATTGACTCTGGAGTGACACTAATTCTTAGGAAATGTTTAGAAAATTCTTAGGAAAGCAAAATGCCACTGTGTCCACCAAAGTTAATGCTTATGACAATCAGATAAATGGAGTTTTGGTTCAAATCTAATTTACAGTGGGCTAGCAGGTCTGTAGCCGGACCCTGTGGTTATGCCCCCAGTTCTGGAATGTGTCACTGGAACAGACATAGGTGGGCCCTTGCAGATTCCCAGATTGGCTCCCCTGACCCAAGGGATGAGGGCCATCAGAGGAAGAAGGGAAATGCCACCTCCCAGGAAAGTAAGCCAGAAGCAGGGCTGCATCCCAGAAAGCCGTGGGGATCGTCCCCCTAGGAGATGGGAAAGGGTAAGGTGGGATCCTGTCCCAGGCCGATTTGACTCATCTCTTTGGCCTGTGTCGGTGGTGTAGGTATCTCGGAAAATCATAACAAATTGTCATAAATTTAATCTGGCAGTGACTCTAAAAGCTGCTGCTGTTCCAGATGTGGTTTAGAAATATCCCAGCTGTGTATCCAGACTGGAGTGTAACACTGTAGTCTCTGGCACCTGGCATGCTTTATGGCAGATGGCTGTTTCTTTCTCCCCTTGTTCTCCACATCCTCATGTGAACAAAACTGGTTAACATTTTAGGGTCCAAGTGAGGATGTGACTTAGTTGACATGATCCTGCGATAATAGGGTGGCCAGTGAGGTTTCTTCACCCAGACAAAGGACAGGAGGGTAAAGCAGTGGGCCGCATGGACTATCTCCTTGCTTGCCCCTCCAGACCCACTCTCTACCCCTTCCCACCCTGCTCTGGCCCAGGAAGCTGGCCTCTGTGGACTGTGCCTGTGGGATCCCTGGCCCTCTGGCTTCCAGGTGGGTTCGACCAGTGGAAGAAGCCGGCAGGAGACTGGAGGGAGCAAAGAGGGGGCTGTCGGTGGATCTCCCAGCTTCCTCCCTTCCACAGCACCGTGCATCGGCCATACTGCTCCAGCAAAGCCCACAGCCCTAGCCTCACACGCCTCTCCCACACTGCAGTCTCACTGGATTCCAGTGTCACTCCCTCAGTGTGCCCTTTGAGGCCTGGGGAGGTAACACTTCCTCAGTGTTGCCAACCCCAGGGTGCTAGATTACTGATTTCTCTCAACTCTGCCTCACCTTTGTAAATAGCCCTTTTCTTAAACTCTTCTCATTTACCTCTTCTGAAGGAACCACCTGCTTCCTGCTGGGACCCTGCTATATATTAATTCACTCACCTACTGTTTATTGAGTAGTTACATGTAATTAGTATTAGGCATCAAGGAAACCATTGAAGCAAAACCAGACACCCTCACTGCCCTCTCAGAACTTTCCCGAAGAGAAAGGCACTAATCCAACAATCACACCGAAAGGGGAATTACAAATTTAACGCAAGGAGGGGTGGACACAAGGGACACCGGGAGAGCTCACAGCAGGAGGAAGGATTCTTCCCTTACTGTCCAGCTGACCTTCCAGGCAGGGGGCACTGCACATGCGCACAGGGCTTGGCACAGGTAGGAGCATAGCGCATGGGGGGAGTTTAAGTCTCATGTAGAGGAGGCTGTAGGGGCAGGAGGTGCAGGTGGCAGGCCAGGCCTACTAGGCCTCCTCAGAGGCTCTGTCTTAATGAAGAACAAGTGAAGCCAGCGGAGCGTGTGGTAGTTGTCCTCTCAGATGACCCCTGATCATCTGCAGCTCCTGAGATTCATGCCCTATGTGATCCCCCTTGGAGCTGGACTCACTGACTTGCTTCTAGTGAATAGAACACAGCAGAAGCGATGAGACGTCACTTCTGAGGCTGGATTACAGCCCTCTCTTCTCTCCCCTCTCACCAGCTGCCATGCTGTGAGGGCACCCAGGCAGCTTATGGAGTAGCAGAAACCCAGGTGAGGTCACTGCCAACCTTCACGTGTGTGAGCCTGCAGCAGGTTTCCCAGCCCCTCAGACTTCAGGAAACTACAGCTCCAGCCTCTCAACAACCTCATGAGAGACTGTGATCAGGGGCACCCCGCAAAGCCATGCCCAGATTCCAGAGCCCCAGAAACCAGGGGATAATAAATGTTTGTCGTATTAAGCTGCCAAGTGTTGGGGTAATTTGTTACACAGCAATAAGCAAATAATACAGAGCATATTCCTTAGCGGGGGGCTGGCATATTTCATTCATTCAACAAATAGTAAGGAGCTACTATATGCCAGGCACTTTGTAGGTGCAGACATAGTACATTTTATAAATGTTTACGTAGTTATTTTCTGAGTGGGTAACAGTGTAATGTGGTTTGAAATTCTGAAGTAGCAAAAGGAGACAGGGACAAGTCTCTCCCCAAAGACACTCACCTCCCTCCCACGGCTAAATGTTAAAAGGTGTCTGGTGTTCTCTTCCAGAAAGATTTTATACATATACAGAGATACATTGGTGCACAACACCATCGTGCAACTTGCTTTTTTCATGTAACCACGTATCTTAAACATTCTATGTTTGTACATACAGAATTTCCTCACTGTTTTTCACATTTTTAGAATATAGAATTCCATTACGTGAATGTACTTTGATACATTTAACCTGTCCTCTGTTGATAAACCTTTAGGTTACTTCCAATCATTTGCTATTACAAACAATGGTGCGACAAATACATTTTGCCCTATAGGATACATTTCTAAAAATGGGTCCAAAAGTATGCAAACGTATGCTGTGATAAATATTGCCAAACTACATGGCAGTGGTATGGCTGGACAGAGGCTTCCTAACGGACACGGCTCTGGGCAAGAGATGCACATCTGCTTCCTCCGCGATTGTCCACAGTGTTATCAAACGTTTTCATCATTTCTGATCTGATCAGTGGGAAATAGCCAGTGAGGCCTGATATTCTCTTCCCCGGACTGCATGTGAGCTTGAGACTCTTTCAACTTGTTTAGTAGCAGCCGGCAAGGTGTGGTGTAAAGAATAGTAGTAAAATTAAATAAACAAACCCTCAGGCTGCCAAGTGTAGAAGGGACTGTGGGACCAAAACCAGCGCGCGGAGCCCAGACAAAGGGGGTTGGAGCGCAGCGGGCGCGCCAGGAGCTGTTAGAAAGACCGAATAAAGGGGCCTTTGTGAGCGCTGCCTGCACGTGCGCACGCGTACTCGGGAGCCGGTTCGCTGGGGAGCTGCAGTGCCAGGATTTATCTTCCGTCTCCAGCTTGTGCAACTTGGAGAAAGATGATGCCCTTCGCTGAGGCGGGCGCTGCGCAAGGAGAGCCAGGTTTGTGGGGGAGGATCAAATATGTTTCCCACCGTTGCTATGAGAACCATTAATTTATTGCATTTACTCTATGCTGTGCCGTACTCCTACACCTTAGTGGAGTTTTAAATTGTAACACATACCTTGGATTTAACATATTTAAAATACCAAACTAGTAAATCACATATGCAAAGAGATACCCTAGGCCATCTATGAAATGTTCATTCTCTCTCTGCTCTTCTGCAACGTGCCGAAAATTTCAATCCTTGAAAATTATAAGAAGTAATTACTGAAATTAACAATACATTGTGCCTGAGAGGGTGGCCGAGGCGGGAATCACTGGGAAAAGTGTGCCGGCCTGGCCCTAACTCCCCAATAGCTTGTGTAACTGGTACAGACCGGCAGGGCTCCGGGAAATGGTTTTCCCACGTCTGTGGTTTGTGAAGCCTGTTGAGGCATCTGGAGTTCCTGAACCCTTCGCTGCTGAGGGGCCTTCTGACTGGGTGCGTCTAATATTGACGTTCTCTGGCTAACTGTACTGGACCCCCTCCAGTGCTCAGAGCATGTTATTCCAAGGGGAGGAAGGAGTGACTACAAAAAAAAAGGAGACTGATTTTTAAAGTTATATATAAAGATATCTTCTTGGAGGAAAAAATGACCATCACTTTGAAGTATCTACTAAACTGGCCAGGTCATATTGTGACAGTCGTGTTGTTTTTTACACCATGATCCCACCCTTCTCCCACTTTCAACCCTGCCGGCTCAGACTCCTAGCTGTGCCACCTGGAATGCAGGGCCCAGAGGCGATCACAGACACGTCAGCAGATGCCAGCAGGCAGAGCTGAGGGGGTGGGAAAGACGACCCTCACCTTCTTGCCATCATGAGACAAAGACCCCAAATGAGGCCCAGAGGCTGCTCTGCTCTGCCACCCCCACTCCAGTCTAGACCAGATTTGACTCCTGGTGTCTGAAGTCTTCCAGTAAATGGAGTCCACAGACATACAGGGTCTCTTATCAAGAGAGTAGCTAGACCCCATGCTAAAATCTCTCCCTTATACATATAACATCTTTTAGTCATGAAAGAAAAAGAAAACATTTGTGAAAGCAAAGTAATCAATTCAGAGCTAAGACTGGATTCAAAAAAAGGAAACCTCATTGGACTTGAAATCGTAAAGTATGTCTTAGAAAGAAGAGAAAGAGAAAGGAAGGAAAATGCATGTGGGAAACAGGAAAGACTGTTGTCATCGGTAGCCTGAGGCCGGGGCCCACTGTGGCTGCCCAGAGTTGCCTCCAGCTGGCTGCCTGCGGGGAGCAGTTTACAACTCAACGTACTGGGGAGAATTCGCTCATAGAAGGTAAGTGCAGAACCAAGAATTAAAAAATACCCGAGGAAGTTTTATACCACAAATACAAAACAATACAATTAATGAAATAACCAAGAGAATAGTGATATTAGAGCATCTAAAAAGGACTTTAAAATAATACATATACCTCTGATAAATAAAAGAGGAACTGATACAAGGAGCAATTTCAATCCTTGAAAATTAAAAAAAGTAATTACTGAAATTAACAATACATAGGCTGAACATACAATGTGCTGAACTTGCAAAGAATCGTGTGTGTGCATGCATGTGCATGACACATCACAGTGAAACTTCAGCATATTGAGGATAAAGAAAAAAGAGACAAACTACCAGAGAAAAAAGATGTATTATGAATTATAAGTAATTCATAATGATTCATAAAGAAATAAAAATTAAACTATATCAGATTCCTTATTAGCAAACTTTGATACACCAAGATGATGAATAAGAGCTTCAGAGTGCTGACAGAAAATATCTGTGTAACTTTGAGCCCAGAATCCCATACACAGGAAAATTATCTGTCAAGAGTGAGAATAAAACAAAGAAATTTTCAGACACACTTAGAAAAGTTTCCACCCATAAACCTTTGCAGAAGGAACTACAAAAGGATAATGCAAGAGGAAAAAGTGAACCCAGGAGCAAGTAATAGAACCATAAAAGAGCATCTAAGTCAATAAGACATTTCAGTAAATATAAATTGATTTTTATTTGAAGGAGTTGGGAGAGTGTGTTTGAACAGCAGGTGGGGAGTAAAATTCTCTGGGAGGCTGAACAACACAACCTCTTCTGGCTACTTGAAGCAGAAAATGACATTGGAAAAATCACAGAATCTGCAATTAGGCCAAAGACCCATACTTAGGGTTTGATGGCAGAAACAGTGCTCAGATGACACTGCAGGACACTAACAAGAGAATTACTGCAATGCCTGTTGCCATCTCTACTAGTCAAGACAAGTCAGTTCTCTATAGTTAATGCTACTGCCACTGCAGCCACAGAAAGCTAGATGTCTATGGACTCTGTATGATTCTCACTTCTTGATCTCTCCCCTGAGTAAAATATTAAGAAGTCTGACTGATCACATGCCTGTGCCCCAGATGCCAGGGAGGCTGAGAGAGCATTTCTGGTTTCTGCCTTGCCGAGATATGCATTCAAAAGATAAGAAGTTCTTCCAAATTTAGGAACTTAGAAAAGATGCTGAGTAGCCCATAAAAGGCATGAAAATTTTCTATTTTGGGCAGGAAAAGGGAGTCAAAAAAGAGAAATATAGACAAAGTACAATAAATAAAAAACACAAAGGTATCAGAAGAGAGCCCAAACATATATATAATCACAATAAATATGAATGGGTTAAATTCATCTATTACAAGGCATAGGCTTTCATTTTGGATATTTAAAAATATATATTAATATACTAATTTAACTATAAAATACATTTGTTTGATTATTATATACTTGGCAGGAAGTTGATGAACTATGCAAACTGGGTAATTTGGAAAAAGTTCATTAACACTAGTTATTTGAAAGGAACAATAAAATAAACCTTTTGCAAGTATGATAAAAACATCAACCATTAGGGACTAAAAAAGTTGAGAACATGAATATATATACAGAAGAGACTTTAAAAAATAATAATACATAAAAGGTGTATTTCTGGTCTTAAGAGGATGGAGTTAAGATTTATCTTCTTCCTTCTCCAATTATAAATCACCCTGAAAGATTAAAACATCAGGAAACAGAAATAGGAGCTCTGTTTCAGCTAAAGATGACACCTCTGGTCCCCATGCAGAGTATGAGAAGATAGATGTATGCATATATGCACACACACATATGTGTACAATTTTCCAATTAAAACATGATTGTCAAAAAAAAACCCAAATTTTAAAAATAAAAAATGTATTAGACTTAAAAAAATAGTAATGTTCTGCTTATAAAAGACATCTTAAAAATGAGGATACAGAAAAATTGATAGTAAAGGACTGACCAAGCAAAGACTAACTAAATGTAAACATGTATAATTATGTTAATATCAAGATAGATTTTCATGCAAGAGCAATATTAGATATAAAGAGGGTATTTCATAATGATAAAAAGGTGGAACTACTAGTAGGAAAAATTCTATATAATTGCCTATACTAAATGACATAGTCTTAAAAATACATAGCACAAACATTAACAGAATGAAAAGAAGTAAATGAACAATCATTGTGGGGAAGTTTAACATACTTCTCTCCATAACTAACAGTAACGACACAGAGTGTCTGAACAATACATTGAACAAACTTGACCTAATTGAAATATGTGGTACACATTGAACATACAGGAAATACACTTTTCTCAAGTATATATGCAACATTTATAAAAAGTAATTATATCCTAGGTCATTGAGCAAGTCCAACAAATCCTAAAGAGGTTTAATCATACAAATACTTATTTTGATCACAGAAAATAAAAGAGGAAAGGTGGTAATATGAATAACAAAATATAAAACCTAACTGATGGACATAAAAGAATGAATGAAAAAATGGAGAGATGTACCATGCCTACAGAAGGGAAGCATGTATTTTGTGAAGATGTCAGTAACCCCCAAATTAATCTGCATATTCAGTTTAATCACAATAAAAATCTAATGATGTTTTGCATTAAAAAATTATCTTAATATTCAGAAGGATGAATACAGATTCGAGAATATTCAACATGATTCAAAAAAAAGTATAAGGAAGTTGGGCAGTTTGCCAACTTGGTGTCAAGATTTATTTCATATCTTAAATAACCCAGGAGTCTACAACTGGCTCAAGGACAGGCTGGATCAACAGAAAATAGTACAGCACCCAGGATCAGACACATATTTATGTGGAAGTTTTATATCTGCTGGAGTGGGTATTTCAAATCAGTAGAGGAAGGACTGGATAGTTAGTAAATGGTGCTGGGAAAAATAGCTACCCATTTGTAAAAATAGCTTAAAATAAAATCCAGTAAAAATTGTTTTAAATTATTAAAAAAAATATAGGAGAGTGACTTTAAATTTTTAAGGGAGATCACTTAATTCAACTTTTTTCCTCCCACTGAATTCAACTTGAATGAAGAAAATGCCTTCTATAAAAGCTTTAAAACCTCAGTATGACAGAAAGCATAATAAAGGAAATAAGTCACAAACAGGGAGACATATTTTCAACATTTTTAACTGACCAGTAATCAGTGTTCCAAACATATAAAGAACTCCTGCAAATCAATAAGAAAAGGAAAACCTGCCCATAGAAAAAATGGGCAAGGACATGACTGAAAATTAATGAAAGAAAAACTGAAGTGTTCAATAATCATGAAAAGCTATTTAAACTTTCTAGTAATCATAGAAATGCAAGTTAAAATATGAAAAATTTCCCGTTTCCCTCCATTAAGTTGGAAAATAATTAAGTTTGATAGAATCAAGCATTGACAGGATTTTGGGTAAATAAGTATTCAAAAATGGCTGGTGGCAATGTAAGGATGACCATTTCAGTAGTATCTATTAAAAATAAAAATGTGGAATACTATGGCCAAAAATTTCACCTCTAGGGGTCCACCATAGAAAAAGACACATGGAGCTAAGGAAATTTGTAATGTCCTCTGCAGCGTGGTGCATAACATGACACACGGATAATATCCTAACTGCCTGTTAGA